TGTCCTCACGCTACAGAATCGGGTAACTTTACATCGCCCGCCGCAGTCCTCTCCGGAACGTGGTGTTGCCCCGCCGACACTAAAACTGAATTTAGAACGTCCTCCCATGCTCCAGCACTTCCGTTTCCAATATACAAATGCTGAAATTTTGTATTCGTCCCGCTGTCAGACCTTCTGTTGTCAAACTACCCTTCGAAGGGTACACGAACTGCTTCCCGTTCCATCCATCGCTATCATACCATACCCTCTGATTACACTCCAATACTGTATGTTAATCCGTGCAGTACCCTGGGGTACCTTCCAACTCACACTCGTGTCAAATGCCGCAAACTGCTTTGTAACGAAACTTCAAAGCTACTCGCGGTTAATTTTACGTAAACCACAGAACTGCGCCACTGTCCACCCTGTTTCCCTACCATTTCAGAACGAGGTACGTACAGTTGACCTTACCTTGCCCTCTGTTCCTACGCCTCGTTGCCGCGTTGTAGGGCTAATTGTTGAACTTTCGTACTGTACAGTAGCTCGAGTCGACCAAATTTCCCCAGCACCACCTTCCTCTAAACAGCTATTCGGCACAGTCTATGATCCTCAGCCTCCGAGCAACTCAGCGGGGAGCAATGTGCCGGAGGGGGCAACACCTCCCCACGTTATATAATCTTGGGACATCTGCCTTCGACCTCCACGAGACTATGCCTTGAACCATAGCCTTTCTCCCATATCTGCTCCACAGATATTCCCTCAAACTCCATCCGCAGCCACAAAAACCGCAATCTCGAAGCAACCTCCTAATGAAACACACATGCCATCAACGCCTTCTTGCCTCAGCCAGACGCCCAAGACGATGTAATTTAGGTGCAACACAGCCTGACGCCATTCTCTCGGCCTAGTGTGAGGGGTGATCCGCGATTCATGCCGGCCCGTCTTTGATATAACAAGAATGGCTTCATATGTGCCCATATACTGCACGCTGTCCACCCCTCCCGTGGACTGCGTCAACCCAGATTCCAACTTGATGCGAGCCGACGCTCCGCAGTACCATCTCCAAAGCCGTGATTTTTGTCATACTCTGAACTCGTAAGCCCAACCAAGTCTCGCAACGTGCCCTTAACCAAGTTTAGAATTTCGTATTGATTGACCAGGCTCCGCCGTACGGTCTGCACATGTCTTGAGATGCGAATACTGTACCGTGGTACTGCACGGTACTGTGCTACACTGCTGCAGCAGCTTGGCAGAAAAGCTTTACCTGTACCGGGATGCCGCCATATCATAAGACACTAGTGTCTAGACGACAAGCTTGCTCTACAAGAAGGAAAAACATACTCTCGCCTCCGCAGTTGACTTCTGCGTTGCGGAAGGATGGAGTTTGGTGAGATCTACACGTCTTTTCCAGCCATTTTTAGAATGCCAAAAAAAGAAGCCTTTTGACCAACCTCAAACTGCTATGTGTTGATGTCTTCGAAACCAAGGCGCCTGTTCAAAATGCCAAACGGGCATTGAAACATTATTACATTCTTAGTCTTTCTGCGTATTGATGTCAATACGCATTGTCAACGTTGTCAACAACTGCTGTTCCAATGTTTTGCAAGATGTTTTTGCCGAGGGCATGTACAGTACGTTAAAGAAATGGCGTCCAAACTGACTTTATTTTAAGTTTCGGTTTATGGTATATCTTTTTGCAAAAAAAAAAGCTGGCCTCATACGAGGCCATGCCTGACCTCAGGCAAATCGCTTGTCGTCTAGACGCTACAGAAGTACTGTACCGGCTTATCGGTCTCCCCCGGTCATTAGTGTTGTCCCGGACTGATAACTAATGATAGTTAGACACGCCTTTTGTTTGGTACGGAATGCAAAAAAAATTACAAAACTGACGGGTTCTATAGTGTCTACCCAAGGGTAGCTAGTGTCTAGGTGACAAATGACCTCATATGAGGTCACTTTTCAAATTATTTTTCTCGACTTGTGCTAGCTCAACAAGATGGAAAAAAGATACTCTCGACACGGCAGTTGACTTCTGCGTTGTGGAAGGGTGGAGTTTGGTGAGATCTGCACGTCTTCTCCAGCCATTTTTAAAATGTCCAAAAAGGAGCCTTTTTTGACCAACCTCAAAACGTTTTATGTTGATATCTTCGAAACCAAAACGCCTGTTTAAAAAGTCAACTCATCATTGATAGTTCATTAGATTCTTAGTCTCTCTGTGCATTGACAACCGCCATCCCAATGTTTTGCAAGATGTTATTGCCGAGCGCGTATACGTTAAAGAAATGGTGTCCAAACTGAATGTTTTAAAGTTTCGATTTAATTTATATATTTTTGCAAAAAAAAGCTGGCCTCATATGAGGCCATGACTGACCTCCTATGAGGTCAAATTGCTTGTCGTCTAGACACTAGACGACCGGCAATTTGACATAAACTTTAGAGTGCTTCTGTTGCAGTGAGATGCTCATACGTATATACAGTAGTACCCAAGGGTACTGTATACCCAGGGTACTGTATGTGCAGGAAAGGGGCGTTCATGTGCATCGCGTTATGGCGCACATGCATTTAACAGCCATCGAGGGCAGCTCCGCATCTGCCAGACGACCTGTGACTGAGCGTTTTGAGGTTAAGGGCTTCACACGTTGATACTGTATTGTGCACACCGTACAGCACTGGGCCATAATACCGTCTTGTATTGAGCTGGCGCCAATGAAATTCGCACGAACACGTCACCAGTCCCTTGCCTGTCCCTTGCCCAAGCTGCCTCCCAAACAACACAAGAACGGTAAATTTTACTGGTGGCCACCACTGCGTCACACTGTTGCCGTCATACAACTATGTTGAAACGAGATCGCTTAGTGGTGGCCCCCGCTCTTATCTTTCGTAATGCATCTTCAATGCCACCCAGTCGTTCTTTCCGTAGACGTAGTGCAGAATGAAGGAATGAGGACGGAACGTTTCTAACTTAGAACGTCGTGCGCAAGTCTGCATTCAGAGTGGCGTGATGCCCAAACTTCATTTGATGCCATGTTGACAGTGATGAAAACTACCTTGCGATTCTCGTCCACAACCACGTACTTGCCAGTTGGACAGCATGCGATTGTACTGTATCTCGATTGTTCCGAAAATAAGTATTGCTCCTAGGCAAGACACCAGATTGGTTTAAAGTGCAATAAACAGACTCTTATGATTAGCCGACAAATATTCTACACTGTACTGCTCCGCATCGATTTCTACGTTGCGAAACTACTGTGTTTTCTTAATGTTTCTGCTAACTCTTCATAGTTGAGATCTTGAGATCAGTTGTTCACTCTTTTCGAAATAGTCAACATGACCAATACGCACCAGAAGTGTAAGTAAGTTAACTCTAACGCTAGATCCATGGAGCTTCAGTCACGACGCCTCACGAACAAAAACAATGTCGGAGTTTGCAGTGTGACACTACATGCGCCGTTGAAAGTCCGAGCCCACTCATATAGACTGGTGCTGGAGTCACAGTTATGCCCGGTATAGTTGCGGAATGTACGAAGCTATATACAGTACCAAGGGTACAGTACTAAATCCATGATTACATCGACAACGATCAGATCGCGGCTTTTTCAATAACAATTTAGCCGTGGATGGTGTATTCCGGTGCCACTCGTCGCAGATATGCAAATGTTAAGAAAAGCGGATATGTGCATGTGAACCATGGAGCGAAGGGTCAGCCATCGGCAAAACTGCGAAGGTAGGAAGGCCATGGATCAAGCATGACCATGGCGAATGGTCGGAACCCCATCGCGCAAGGGCGAATGCAGAGAGGAGGCGACAAGGGGTCTACAGGCGTGCAGAGGCAATGCGAAAAGGATTAGAACCCGTATCAGCACAGCCCGACTAGCTCCTAGTGATAGATAGATACGAAGCGGGCAGGAGCGAGCAGACGTATTCAAGCGGAGGTAGCTTGCGGAAAAAGACAACGGCAGAAACGCCCAGCACCTGTGCTGATGCTGATGATGTTCCACCCGACCCTCTCTCCTCCTCGTCACAGCGACAGTACCAGCGGTAGATCCTACACGTTTTACCCAGAATCCGTACGGGATGTCCGAGCTTATCAAAACAGTACGGTAATGATTTTGATATCAGGGTGGCAATAACGGCTACCATGCACTTGTAAGATGAATGTAAAACTATACTGTACCCAAGGGTAGAGGGAGGAACTTCTCTTAATTCCACAAAAAGCTTGTCAGGAGCTCTTATGGATACTTTCCGTTGCCTACCCACTGGCATGAGCTTTACAGTGACCATATTCTATTTAAGTAGACGACCCTTTCTCAATTGTACAATTGTACAACATTCATCTCTAAATATAATTTGGACCAGCAATGTCTCCACGCTCATCGCTTCGCGTTGAATTGTCAAAGGATCATTTCGATGGCCAAACATGGCTTGTGATCCTAATAGAGAATACTCTACAGTACTTCCAACATCCCGCCAGTGACGCAACGAATCGTGGTGGGAAAAATGAGAAAGAGTATCCGTAGCCCCTGATTTGCAGCCCGTTACCTGCTCTGAGGCTGAGACCGAAACCTGAGGGTGGCTAGAGTTTAGGACCATTCAATAATATTACCTGCTAGAGGGACCCTAAGTTGAACAAAAACCTGTTCTGAATATTGCGCATCACAGAAGTACTTGTGTTTCCTCAAACTGGAAGTGGATCAATCCAAGCCCTGTGTGCATTCTTGCTTTTGAGAGCTTCAGCTAGAGCGTTGCCATAACATTTGACCTCGGGCGAGATCTTCAAATCTGGCAACATGCACTACTACGCTTGGTGTGTTGTTCTTGACAGTTAAAGCCAAGAACGATTGAGAGCACGTTTTCGAGCTGCGTTTCGACAGTTCTTCATCACGAAATGGCTCTCAACATCCCATACTTGTAGTTCTCCTACCTATGTTGAGCTAAGTTTGGAATAAGCTTGGAATTCTCGGCTTCTCCGAGTTGTACTGGATGCAATGGATGTGGAATGAGGACTGCAAATATCGATAGCATTTATGAAAAACAATCATTGCAGAAGGGCCGGCTAAAGAGAAGCGTAATTCGCACTGTTCTCAGGTTTGGTGACTATTAACAGATGGTCACTGGTACAGTATGAATAGTTTTTGGAAGGGAAACTGACAAGCCCGCATGCTTCAATTCTCTACGGTACCTAGGCCTACAGTACTAGCTAGTGCATATCTAAATTCATGTGATTGGGAACGGGCTACGTCTGCGAAAAAGGTTCACAGGCTTCGTTGAAAACCCTTCTGCTCGTGCTCAGTACAGTACGTCGCACTAGCAAAAAGTTTTTGCCAAAAACAGATGAGATTTTCTGTACCGTACGGCACAGCCCTTACAGCTTGTACACCTCGGCTGAATGCTAACCTACGTCTGCAATAGACGTTGCGATTGAACCAGGGCCGCCCGTAGAAACCCATACAAGAACCTGCATTGCCTGGATGTTGAAAGGCATTCATCCCATTTATAGTGTTCTGAATAGGAGTGGACGAACGGACACAAGATGGTGCTGTTACCCATTCAGGACATGCTCCGATTCGCGCTCTCTCAGGCAAGAGAATGCAACAGCACATGTGAGAAACTTGTGGAATTTGGAAGCTCAAACATAAATCCTTACACTTCAGCCCCTAAAACATATCACTACTGTAAACCCAAGCTCGTATGCAATCAACTCAATCAACTCTTGGAATTCATAACCCAGACTGCTGTAGCAAACCGTCTGAAAAATTATTGAATTACAGTAGTGCTGAAGCTGTAGTACGGACCTTTTGCGTACCTGTAGCTGCCGTCTCAAAGAAATTGTGCAGTCCAACGACGCGTTTCCATTCACTGGCTCAAGTGAGAGGACACAAGGACAGCAAGAAAAGGACAACAAGCTCTCCTCATAGAGCAGTTTTGTGAAAAATTCTCGCCCAAATTTCGTACATGTCGTGCACGTGGTCAACATGTCCAATCTGTATAACACCGCACGATTTGTGTTTTCAGGAGTCGCCCCTGTTGATACGATGTAACGAAAATCGTGGAAAAAATTGAGGCGCCGCAAATGCTCTATGAAGGATCATACTGTATCTTTTTTGAACACGGCATGCCATACGTAAGCAGCCGCCTTTCCGGGGGACGTCACCCCCCAACAGTAACGGACCAGGCAGACTCTGGACTGACTTAAATTTAACATCCCAGGCCGTGTCAGTCGTAGGCACCATGACACGGTCAGCTCCGCTCTGCAAACATCGCGGCTGGAGGACGTGGTGTGTGCCGAGGGCTCTCTTACGATGAGCCAACGGTAGGTTCTATCGAGCTTTGCGAGAAAGAGAAGGGAGCTGTTCGTCTTGCAAACTTGCAAAGGTCGTCGTCTCAGGCGTTTCGCGGCATCTAATTTTCCTTTTGCTTGCAAAGTCAAAGCCGGCTTTGTCTCTTCCAAGGCAGGTTGCAACACCGAAGCTGGCTTCCAACGCGAACGTACGAAAGAAATTTGTTACACACAGGGACGATCGAATTAAAGAAGAAAAGAAACGCCCATTGGCGACACGCCAACGATGCTCTCGACGCGTTGTGAAAATGATGCCTATGTTTTGTACATCAGCGCGGCATGCCATGCTTTTACGTCAACAACTCTCTACAACACTACGATGCTGATGCCGAGGCTGAAGCCGAGGTACAGCTGACGCCATGGGCCTTTCTCTCATGCCTCACCGCGTCAAACTTTTGCGAGTAGGTCTTGCTGCAAACCCTACATGTGAACCTTGTTTTTTGGTGCACAGTTTGTCTATGTCTCGTCAGTGAGGACTTTCTACCAAAACGTATTTGACACTGCTTACATTCCCACGGACGAGCGTCTTCTTCGTGGGTGACGCGGACGTGATGGTGAAGCTGGTCCTGCTCTGCAAAACTCTTGCCGCACTTTTCGCACGAAAATGCTCTCGATACATGTATGCGGTAACGATGTCGTCCCAAGTCTGCCTTATGAGCAAACTTTTGTCCACATAAGTCGCACTCAAATTGCTTCAAACCGTCATGCACCGTCTGGACATGTCTGCTCTTGTTACTTCGCTTTGCAAAGCTAAGCCCGCAGACCTCGCACTGAACACCATTCGCTACGGACTGCTCATTTGTATTTGCACCAGTCCCGTCGTTTGTATTTGGTGAGTCTCCAACGAGGTGGTGTTGTTCCCGCTTTTGATGCTGATCGCGTCTCTCCTCGACTCCGTCGTTCGCTTGCATTCGTTGCTGATTCACAATGTCCGCTTCTCGTCCTAGCACACTAGAATCAAAAGAAGCCCCCTGCATGAAGTGGTCCTGGTGGGTGATGGCTTGCGGGAACCCAAAATTGGCTGTGGACAACGGCGCTGTTGGCGGCGATGGAACGTAGGGTGTCCCAGACATGAGCCCCGCCGGGGAAGGACTGCGTGTCATGCCGAACGCACGAGCCAAGGCGGACTGTGGCCGATCGGCCGCAACTGCCATGTTCCACGATGGCATTGGGATGGTTCGATGATCATCAAAACTGGACCACGGTTGATCCATGCTGCTGAGGTTGAGCGGGGCAGGTCTCTGAGTTGTATCCGATCGTGGTCGTTTCATTGGTGGTTCCCCCGGCATCAAGCCTGGAAATCGGGACTGCGACGGCAACGTCGTGCTTGCTCCGAGCCGGTTGCCCTCTTGGCCTTGGCTTCCGAATCGCAAGTGGCTGCCTAGACTCCCCAATGCGGTGGATTCGTCGCTTTCTAAAATGGCATCCCCCGAATCGTTGGGATTCCTCGGCGCTGATGGCAAGACCACGTCGCGGACATTGCCATTCTGACGTATCGCAGGCTTCAGCACGGGCTCAGCAGATGGGCCTATATCTATTAACTGGTGACGGTCGTTTCGTGAGTTCAAAATCAGGGCGAGGGAGGGGTCTGGCATGTTCTCAGCCGAACATTCACATTCCCGGCCCCTCTTATCAGGACCGCAGAGCGAGTTTGGTATCTTGGGATCCGACGGAAAGGGATCGACGTTGGACTGCAAAGTGGCCAGAGAGACGACACTGGCGCTGAGCGACTCCTGCTGGCGCTTTGGGGGCACGCAGTCTGGAGGCACAGTAGTGGCAGTCTTCCCTTGAGGTTGTGGGTGTTGCTGCTGTTGTTGCTGGAGCGGGTTCGGGAAGCAAGCGACGTTTCCCTCGATGCAAGGGTTTTGCGGAAAGACATTGTCAGGCTTTTGGAGACCAGTTTTGCGTGTGGGCAACAAGCCAGGATCCTTGAAGAGAGAAGTGACATTGGATGGGACAGTGGTAAAGCTGACCGGGCTGTGGGAGAATTCTGGGCCGAAAGCGATGGCGGGGTCATCACTGGGCGCAAACGCCGCAGGCTCAGCGGTGGGGTCCATCGCGGCCAGGGCAGGGACGGGCGGCGAGGCCTCCTGAGGCGTCGGTGGCATATCGCAAAGGGCAGTGGGGGCCAGCTGGTGACGGCTGCGATCGGCATCGGCGTCCAGGCGCACGCAGGCTGAGACGTAAGGGTATCGAAGCGTGCACGGCTTGAAAGCGGGGTCCGGCGACGGGGCGAAGTCGAGGTTCAAGACGCCGGAGCGTTCACCATGCATAATGCGCATGCGCTGGATGAAGGGCATGCCAGCGGGAGCGCCCGCCGCCCCCGACGGGACGAGATCCTTTAGCGAGCCTCTAGGCAGTGTGAGGGAGTCCGGGCACGCGCACACGCGGCGCGCGCACGCGGAGCAGGACGAGGCGTCTGCGGCGAGCAGGACGAGGCGCGGGTGCGGCGGCGGGCCGTCGGCGGCCGCGGGGGCTGCGTAGAAAAGCACCTCGGATAGGCGTGCGTCCTGCGGCGGTGCGCCGTGCAGCAGGCGAGTCAGCACGACGATGAGGCTGTTGTCTGCGAAGCGCGCATACTCGACGAGCTCCAGCGCGTCGCGCGACGTCTGGTCCGAAGCAAAGTGCCGCGCGCGGACGTGGCGCCACCCCGATTGCCCGGCCAGGGCGGCTAGTGCGGAGTAGGGATGCGCGGCGGTAGACGGGTCGCCGCGTATCTGAGATTGCGGGGAAGGTGGAATGTTAGCGGGATGCGGGTTGGGCGAGTTGGGGTGGCAGAGCGCGGGAGAGGGCGCGGTTACGTACCTGCCCCAGGGCGAATCCATCATGCACCTGGTCGACGACATACAGATCGTCCGCAGCGGGGAAGGCGGGACGTGCCGCCGGGTCGGTCGGGGTGAGGTTGAGGCGCAGGGCGTGCTCGCGGGGGCGGGTGCCGGGCGGCCGTTGTTTATGCAGCAGCCAGCGCGAGACGGTAGCGTTGAACATGTAGCGCTTGTGCATGGCGCGCAGTGCGCCAGCATCGGGGCTTGGCTCGCCATGGGCTGACATGGTTGCAGCGTGAGTCGGGCGGGGAGGAAGGCGTGTATGGGGCGCGAGGGGGCGATCAGAGACAGCA